TGGGAGCAGGTTTGGTGCCTTACAAGGCTCTCCGGGAGAATCCATTTCCTGGCCCTGGGGGCGCCTTCACTCCTCAGCTTTTGCTGCCCTTTTTGAATGACTCGTGTTTCCTGCTTCCATCACTACACCTCCCACCCTCTCCATCACCTGCTTTTCTCTTATAAGGATCCTGGTGAGTACATCAACCCTGCAGGGACAAGCTGGGATAATCCTCCCGGCCAAAGATTCTTAACTCCATTATATCTGCAAAGCTCCTTTTGCCATATAAGGTCATGTTCACCGATTCCTGGGATTGGGATATGGACATTTTGGGGGGTCACTATCAGCCTACTACAGCTAGGCTTCAAAACTATTACACCCTCCTGGTGTTTCAGTGATTGGGATTGGGAGAAAAAGTGTTGGAGTTGGGATTTTTTTGCTTTTGCTTTGGGGACCCTCTTTTTTTCTTTGAGACAGACTCTCGCTCTGTCGCCAGGCTGGAGTGTGGTGGCGCGATCTTGGCTCACTGTAACTTCCGCCTCCAGGGTTCACGCCATTCTCCTGCCTCAGCCTCCTGAGTAGCTGGGACTACAACTGTGTGCCACCATGCCTGGCTAATTTTTTGTATAAATTTTTAGTAGAGACAGGGTTTCACCAGGTTGACCAGGATGGTCTAGATATTTTGACCTCGTGATCCACCCGCCTCGGCCTCCCATAGTCCCAGGCATGAGCCACCACACTCAGCCAGGGTCCCTCTTAAACTTGTATTTTTAAGGTCTGGGTCACTCTAAACCTTTTTTTTTCCCTTTCTTTCTTTTTTGAGACGGAGTCTTACTCTGTCACCCAGGCTGGCAGTGGGGTGCGGTCTCGACTCACTGCAATGTTCGCCTCCTGGGTTCAAGTGATTCTCCTGGGCGGGGGGGCTCAGCCTGTATCCCGACTTTGGGGCGAGGGGGGTCACAGTCAGGAGATCAGACACTGTGAACCGTCTACAAAAAAAAAATAGCGGGGGGGGGGGCCTGTAGAGCTCTGGGGGAGGCGGAGATGGCGGGACCGGGGGGGGCTTGCAGTGAGCGAGATGCGCCTGCACTCAGCTGGGCGACAGAGCGAGACTCCGTCAAAAAAAAAAAAAAAAAAAAAAAAAAAAAAAAAAAAGTGATTCTCCTGCCTCAGCCTCCTGAGTAGCTGGGACTACAGGCACCTGCCACCACGCCCGGCTCACTTTTGTATTTTTGGTAGAGATGGGGACGGGGGCGGGGGTGGGGTTGGAGGAGGGGGTTTTCTTCTCTGTTGCCCTGAGCCCAAAGCAATCTGCCCACCCTTGCTCCCAAAGTGCTAGGATTACAGGCCTGCACCACCATACCCGACCACTGTAAAGTCTTATTTCCACACAGCTAAGACATGTTTTAGGAAGTTTGCTAACAGACCCCTGGAGACCTCCTCACTGTGGCCTCCCTGTTGTCGTGTTTAATTTGATTCATCTTCTCTGCCCTTCTGCTTTTCAGAAATTAAAAGGCTTTTAGAGATACTAAACTTTAAAACTTCTCTTACAGTCTCCTATTAAACTAATTCTAAGAACCACCAAAAAAGGGAAAAAATCTTTCAAAAGCAGTAAAATGATATGGATTGTTAGGATGTAAAATATAGGAAATAAGTCATTATATGTTAGTGCTGCTCTGACATAGGGAAGTATTATTGAGAGTCAACTTTTGCTCAGTTTTCAGAGAAATGGAATAATCATATCGCTGATCTTCGTAAACAAGTTGAAGAATTGTCTGAAAGAAAATGTGGTATGTCTAAACTGGAAAAGTCCTGTAATCCTTTGTTCATGAGCATTTACACAGTGGAGTTACTGTTCGTTATGGGGGTACCGTGGACAAGACCAGGGCTGCTGGTGAATCATGCCTCCTTACACGTCTCTCCTTGTAAGGTGCTTTGTAGTGTCTGTCTAAATATTAGAAACATTCTTTCTTTCTAGATTACTGCAAAGCTAAGGAAAAATTGTATTTCTTTAATTATCATTATTATTTCTTTTAAACTTTCAGCATGGATATTGGGGATTTACTTACATATTTATTGCAAAGCCCTGGATCTTAGGGATTTAATAGAATTTTTTTATACTGTTTCTCTTAATCTGCTTTGTTAAATTTGGTATTCACCAAGATACCCCTATTGTCTCTACTTTTATCTTTTTTTTGTTTTTTTTTTTTTTTGAGACAGAGTCTCGCACCGTTGCCCAGGCTGCAGTGCAATGGTGCGATCTCAGCTCACTGCAACTTCTGCCTCCCGGGATCAACCCATTCTCCTGCCTCAGCCTCCTGAGTAGCTGGGATTACAGGTGCCCGCCACCACGCCTAGCTAATTTTTTTTGTAGTTTTTAGTAGAGACAGGGTTTCACTATGTTGGCCAGGCTGGTCTCGAACTCCTGACCTCATGATACACCTGCCTTGGCCTCCCAAAGTGCTGGGATTACAGGTGTGAGCCACCATGCCCGGCCTCTACTTTTATCTTGATGCATCACCAAACTGATGTTAGATTTCAAATTCTTCTTTGCCTTATGCTATTCTATCCTGAACCCACCTTTATATGACGATGAAAGAAATTAGCGGCCAGGCGCGGTGGCTCAAGCCTGTAATCCCAGCACTTTGGGAGGCCGAGACGGGCGGATCACGAGGTCACAAGATCAAGGCCATCCTGGCTAACACAGTGAAACCCCGTCTCTACTAAAAAATACAAAAAACTAGCCAGGCGAGGTGGCGGGCGCCTGTAGTCCCAGCTACTCGGGAGGCTGAGGCAGAAGAATGGCATGAACCCGGGAGGCGGAGCTTGCAGTGAGCTGAGATCCGACCACTGCACTCCAGCCTGGGCGACAGAGCGAGACTCCGTCTCAAAAAAAAAAAAAAAAAAAAAAAAAAAAATTAGCAATATGTTATTATCTATCTGTTGGTATATATCAAATGCTCACCTAAAAATAGCAACAGCCAGTGAAAAACATCATGTGCTTTGGTGTTTTTATTTGGATGACTATTTACTTTGCAATCTAGCAAGCTATAATATTGTATGATATGCAGAATTTTAACTGAATTGCTTTAAATGAACATTTAAACATGATAAACCATATTGATGGTATTTATGTTAATATACTTGAACATTTTTTCTTCATTATGAGTAATACAACATATCCCTCAATGAAAATCTAGAATTAGAGTAAATTTGCTAATGAATTCAATAACATTTCCATAATATTTTTAGTTATGTGCTTAAGGTTCTGTTAGTGTTTCTCCCACGTTTTAATAGCTTATGCCTTTTTTGCCTTTTTTTTTTATTGGTTCATTTTAAAGCAAAAACCTCACAACATGTGCTCCCTAGAAGCACTGTAACCTAATGGTAAGATCATAGGCTCTGGGGACACAGGCTGGCCACATGTCTTCTCCTGTCAGAGCCTTACTATCCTCTTGTAGTCACAAGAACTGAAGATCTATCCTGAAGATTTGATAAAATCTATCCTGAAGATTTGATAAGATAGTAAAGTAGTAAAGAAGATAGTAAAAGTGCTTCGCATAATATCGGGCATATAAATACATAATAAATGCTTCCTGACCTCAGGTGATCCTCCCACCTTGGCCTCCCAAAGTGCTGGGATTACAGGCGTGAGCCACCACGCCCAACCAAGAAATTCTTATGTAAAAAGAGGCTGGGCTCAGTGCCTCACAACTATAATCCTAGCACTTTGGGAGGTCAGGGCGGGTGGATCACTTGAGGTCAGAAGTTTGAGACCAGCATGGGCAACATGATGAAACCCCATCTCTACTAAAAAAAAAAAAAAAAAAAATTAGCCAGGTGTGGTGGTGGGCGCCTATAATCCCAGCTTCTCGGGAGGCTGAGGCAGGAGAATCACTTGAACCTAAGAGGCGGGCATTGCAGTGAGCCAAGATCATGCCACTGTACTCCAGCCTGGGCGACAACAGCAAGACTCCATCTCAAAAAAAAAAAAAATAGACTCCATCTCAAACAAAAACAAAACACAAATGTGGTATTGCAATTAAAACAATTACTATGTTAAAGACAGTTTCATAGAAAATAAAAGACCACTCAGATACACTCAGCTGTCTTTTTAGACAGATATAATTGTTATTCTTATTTTACAGCTTAAGAAACAGGCTCAGAGAATGTTATTTGATTGGACCGTGTTGCATCTCTGGACACTGCAGCTGAGGTCAGACTTCGTGTGTAACTCCACTAGCCTACCAAGGTGCCTCTCATAAAAGTAAGAAATGTAAATTTGGCCTAATATACGAAGTTGCCACGGCAGCACTGGGTCAGTTCTACATACACGACTTCTATGTTCATCAAGGGAAACCTTACAGGAAAGTGAAAATGTTTCTAGAAGGTGATTGGACACCAGCACATTTGCTTGTTGCCTTTGGGCTCTTCTTCTAAGGCCAACAGTGACCTGAAATTATTGACTGACTATTCCAGTCAACTGGAGAAAATGGTACCAAGGTCGCCAGCATCAGACAAATTCACTTGAGGACCTATCTATGTACTTTGAAAGACAAAACTGCTTGTGAAGGATACTGTATTTCAGAAAAACAGAATCATATTAACAACTAATAACACTGTAAAATGCTGATGTGTTGAATGCTACTTTAGAAAAACATGTTCAAATCTAGGAAAAAAATTTCCAACAGAAAACTACGTATCAGTTATCTAGCTAGCTATCTAGAGACATGGTCTCATTCTATTGCTCGGGATGGAGAGCAGTGGGATGATCATAGCTCACTGCAGCCTTGAGTTCCTGGCCTCAAGTGATCCTCCTGCCTCAGCCTCCTAAGTAGCTGGGGCCACAGGTGGACACAGGTACACCTGGCTTTTTTTGTCTGTCTGTTTTGTAGAGACAAGGTTTCACTACATTGCCCAGGCTGGTCTCAAACTCTGGAGTCTCGCTCTGTCGCCCAGGCTGGGATGCAGTGGCGCAACCTCAGCTCACTGCAACCTCTACCTCCCCGGTGTAAGCAATTCTCCCGTCTCAGCTTCCTGAGTAGCTGGGATTACAGGCATGTGCCACCACACACAGCTAATTTTTGCATTTTTTGTAGAGACCAGGTTTCACCACATGGGCCAGGATGGTCTCGAACTCCTGACCTCAGGTGATCCACCGGCCTTGGCCTCCCAAAGTACTGGGATTACAGGCGTGAGCCACCACACTTTCTTATGTTATTAAATAGCCTAACCCAGGAAGGGTGTGGTGGCTCACAGCTATAATCCCAACAACTCTAAAGGCCAAGGTGAGAAGATCGCTTGAACCCAGGAGTTCGAAACCGGCCTGGGCAACATAGCGAGACCCCTGTCTCTACAAAAAAATACAAAAATTAGGCCAGGCGTGCACCACTTCCGGCTAATTTTTGTATCATTTGTAGGGACGGGGTTTCATCATGTTGCCCAGGCCGGTCTCGAACTCCTAAGCCCAAGCCATCCATCCTCCTGCCTCGGCCTCTGACAATGCTGGGATTACAGGGCCCAGCCAGCCTCATGTTTTCTTTAAGCAGTCCCTCCCTGTTGCACACTTGGATAGTTTTCTTTTTTATTTTTTTAGACAGAATTTACCTCAGTCTCGCAGACTGCAGTGCTGTGGTGGGATCATAGCTCACTGAAGCCTTGAACCTTGGGGTTCAAGCAGCTGGGGGGCTGAGGTGGGACTTCAGAGATGGGGTCGCCCTGTGTTGCCCAGGCTGCTCTTGATCGCCTGGCCTGAAGGGATCCTCCCGCCTCTGCCGCGCATGAACATAGTTTCCTATTTTTGACCAACATAAACCCTGTGCTGAGTTGGAGTTTGTCAACTACCCTTCTCCAGCAACCTACGGGACCTGACGGGGATGTCCGGGTTACCGGGCTCCACTCCAAGGAAAAGACAGCCCTGCTCTAGGCACTGTACCGCCACTGTGACGTCCTCGAAGGTCTGCCTCTATGACGCCGCCGAAGGCACCCCCGCTTCACAAGCGGAGCCCATCGGAACTCGAGGCGGGGCTGCTGGGTCTTCCAGGAGCGCCCAGACACGGGCGCGTGGCCACGGGTGGCCACAGGTGGCCACAGGCGCTGGGCAGGATGGCAGCGGCCACAGAGCGGGCCCTTCCACGTCTGCAGGCTCTGGCCCGGCAGCCACCACCCATAAGCAATGAGGAGGAGCTTTATGACTGCCTGGACTACTACTACCTGCGCGACTTCCCTGCCTCAGGGGCCGGGCGCAGCAAGGGCCGCACTCGGCGCGAGCAGGCGCTGCGCACCAACCGGCCTGCACCTGGCGGGCACGAGCGCAAGGTCCTGCAGAAGCTCCTCAATGGCCAGCGCAAGCGCCGCCAGCGCCAGCTGCAGACCTGGCTGCGCACTCGCCCCACCTGAGCCTGGGTAAGGGCGCCCAACACCTCCCCCAACCAGGGCCCGGGGACCCTGGTAGCGTCCCCCCATCGCGCGACGCTACTCGCCCTAGGCAGAATCGGCTGCCTCTGAGGGAGCTGCATTAGGGAACTGCACCCGCCAGCTTGGCCTCTGACGGCCGTTGCAATAGCATTAAAGCCTTTGGAACTTCGGAGGTGGATAGAAGGGGCTAGGAAATGAAGACAACATCTTTTTAAAAATATAAGCGATTGATAGCTGGGTGCGGTGGCTCACGCCTGTAATCCCAACACTTTGGGAAGCCGAGGCGGGCGGAGCACGAGGTTAGGGGATCGAGACCATCCTGGCCAACATGATGAAACCCCATCTCTACTAAAATATATATTTAAAAAGCCGGGCATTGTGGCGCGCGCCTGTAGTCCCAGCGACTTGGGAGGTTGAGGCACGGGAATCGCTTGAACCTGGGAGGTGGAGGTTGCAGTTAGCCGAGATTGCGCCACTGCACTCCAGCCCGGCGACAGAGAGAGACTCCGTCCAAAAAAAAAAAATATATATATATATATACACACACACACACACACACACATATATACATATATGTATGTGTGCGATCGAGCCCGGGAGGTTGAGGTTTCAGTGAGCCAAGATTGCACCACTGCTCTCCAGCCTGGGTGACAGAGGGAGACCCTGTCTCTAAAAAAAAAATATGCAAGTAAGAGCTTTTCTTCCGGTGCTCATGCTCAGACTGAAGAAAGTAATTGGGCTGGGCCCAGTGGCTCAGGCCTGTAATACCAGCACTTTGGGAGGCCCAGGCCGGCGGATCGCTTTAGCTCAGGAGTTCCAGACTGGCCTGGTCAACATGGTGAAACCACGTTGCTACAGAAATACAAAAAATTATCTGGGCGTAGTAGTGCGTGCTTGTAGTCCCCTACTTGCATGGCTGAGGCGGCAGGATTGCTTGAATCCAGGCGGTTGAGGCTGCAGTGAGCCATGATTGCCCCACTTCACTCCAGTCTGGGTGACAGTGAGACCCTGTGTCAAAAAAAGAAAAACAAAAAAAGTAACTGATCTGTGTTTTTGTCTGATTTCCTACAGGATACCGAAGGACCTGTTCAAAGTATTTTCTGTAACTCCAACTGTAACTTGTTTCTGAGGAGGAGAGAATCCATGTTTGGTCAACAGAACTTTTCCCTGTCACTTAAGTTTACTGCTTCCATATCTTTTCCTTACTTGATTGTTAATTAAGTAGTGTCCAAGTGGATTAGCCTTTTGAGGGTTTATTAATTAAAAGAGAGCAGCAAGAATGGCATTTTAACTCTCCTGGTTTTTTTTCAGTTACTATGGTAACTCTTTTCAAGTCCACAAATGATTTGTTCTTATCTGTAAAGGTCACAAAGATAAGCAGAGAGAGACCAAAGATAGGAATATGTGTAAGATTTCTACCTAAATGTAGTTTAGGAGTACACTAAGTAGTTCACTCCTGTAATCCCAGCACTTTGGGAGGCCGAGGCAGCCAGATCGCCTGAGGTCAGGAGTTCAAGACCAACCTGGCAAACATGGCAAAACCCCATCTCTACTAAAAATACAAAAATTAGCCGGACGTGGTGGTGGGTGCCTGTATCCCAGCTACTCGGGGGCCTGAGTCAGGAGAATTGTTTGAACCTGGGAGGCCAAGGTTGCAGCGAGCCAAGATCATGCCACTGTGCTACAGCCTGGGCGACAGAGCAAGACTACATCTCAAAAAAAAAAAAAAAGATTTCTACCTAAAAATGTCATAGACTACTCTGAAGGTTAATATTTGCATATTAAAATGTATATTGCATGGCGTGCCAATCTCAAATAATCAAAAGAAAAGTCAGAATCTAAAGGGAGTTTATTCATGCACAGAGTTTTAGGAGGGCCACCTGGGACGCACAGATACAGAAGAGTGGAAGTCAGTGGTCCGAGGCTTAGAAGTTTGGGATCACTTACAAAGTTTAGAGAAGCTTAGCCAAATTAAAGCATCTCTCCGTTTAAGGGTTAATACATAGTTAATCTGATTAGTCCAGGTGGTCTTTCTTTCACTCTGTCACCCAGGCTGGAGTGCAGGGGCACCATAGCAGCTCACTACAGCCTCAACCTCTCAGGCTCAAGCCATCCTCCCACCTCAGCATCCCTAGTAGCTGGGACTACAGGCGGACACCAACACACCCAATTAATTTTTGTATTTTTTGTAGAGACGGGGTTTTGCCACATTGCCTAGGCCGTTCTCAAACTCCTGGGCTTAAGAGATCCACTTACCTCAGCCTCTCAAAGTGCTGGGATTACAGGCATGAGTGACTGCACCCAGATGAGGTGGTCTTTTTTCCGGGAAAGGTGTGTTTAACCTTTCACACTGAATATGTAAGTCATGGGGTCTTTTGTGCCATCTGGTGTGAGTTAGGTACAGAACAATGAAGGAGGCAGTTAATCTCTAACAAAGATGAGTGATTGGAAGGCGAGGAGGTCTAGTCTCTGCTCTCTCATAGTCATTTACAGTATGAAAATAAGGAAAGAATAAATTATAATTTAAGAACCAGAAGTTACAAACATGCCATGCGACTCAATCAGGGTGTAACTTCCCCCTTGGTGTGCTAAATTTATATGGGGTCCTGAAACTTTTTTTTATAGTTGCTAGGTTCTCCACACTATTGATCCCACAACAATTCTTCGAGGTAGATGCTGCTATCCACATTTTTTTTTTTTTTTTTTTTTTTTGAGACAGTGTCTTGCTCTGTCATCCAAGCTGGAGTGCAGTGGCATGATCTTGGCTCACTGCAACCTCTGCTTCCTGGTTTCAAGCAATCCTCCAGACTCAGCCTCCCAAGTGGCTGGGATTACAGGTGCCCACAACCATGCCTGGCTAAGTTTTGTATTTTTCATAAAGACCAAGTTTCACCTTGTTGGCCAGGCTGGTCTCAAACTCCTGACCTCAGATGATCTACCCACCTCAGCCTCCCAAAGTGCTGGGATTACAGGCATGAACTACTGTGCCCAGCCCACATTTTAGAAAAGAGATTCTAAGGCACAGAGAGTTCAAGTACCTTTCCAAAGATGACACAGCTAATTAGATAGCAGACCAGGTAGCCTGACCCCAGGACTTTTGCCCTTGGCCTCTATACTACTTTGTTGAGCACAGCAGTAAATATTTCATATATAGTTTTATCCAGAATTGTCCTGTTGGTTGTGGTAAACCATGTTTTGTTGTTCTGAGACGGGGGCAAGCTCTGTTGCCTAGGCTTCTGGTGTGCAGTGGCACAAGCACCAGCCTCAACCTCTTGGGCCCAGACAATCCATTTCCGCCTCCCAAAGCACTGGGATTACAGGAATGAGCCATCATGCCTGGCCTCACACTCAACTTTTACAGGCAATTCACTTCCTTCAAACTATCAATAAGGAAATGATTCTGTTCTGTTTTGTGTTTACATATTTTTTGTTTGTTCGTTTGTTTGTAGAGACAGGGTCTTGCTCTGTTGCCCAGGCTGGAGTGTGGTGGTGCAATCATGGCTCACTTCAGCCTCGACCTCCCAGGCTCAGGCAATCCTTCCGCCTCAGCGTGCCAAGTAGTTGGGACTACAAGTGCATGCTACCATGCTTGGCTAACTTTTGTATTTTTTGTAGAGACAGGTTTTCACCATGTTGCCCAGGCTGGTCTTAAACTCCTGGGCTCAGCCATCCTCCACCCTCAGCCTCCCAAAGTGCTGGGATTACAGGCATGAGCCACTGTGCCTAGCTGATGCTGTTCTTTTCAACTGCATTTGTTGGTTTTTTATGTTTGGGTTTTTCTTTGTTTTTTTTTTTTGAGATGGGGTCTCACTCTGTCTCCCAGGCTGGAGTGCAGTAGTGCAATCTCTGCTCACAGCAGGCTGGTCTCAAACTCCTGACCTCAGATGATTTTCCCGCCTCTATACCCCAAAGTGCTGGGATTACAAGTGTGATCAACTGCACCTGGTGATTTTGCTCATTTAGATACTAGAACATTTTAATTTTAAAAAATGAGCTGGAGTGCAGTGGCATGATGGCTCACTGCAACCTCTGCCTACCGGGTTCAAGTGATTCTCCTGCCTCAGCCTCCCAAGTAGCTGGGACTACAGGCGCGTGCCACCACACCCAGGTAATTTTTGTATTTTTAATAGAGATGGGGTTTCACCATGTTGGCCAGTATAATCTTGATCTCTTGAACTTGTGATATGCCCGCCTCGGCCTCCCAAAGTGCTGGGATTACAGGCATGAGCCACCGCCCCTGGCCAAAAACACATTTTTTTTTAGACAGAGTCTCACTCTGTCCCGCAGGCTAGAGTACAGTTGCACAGTCACAGCTCACTGCAACCTCAACTTCCTGGACTCAAGTGATTCTCCCATCATAGTCTCCCAAGTATCTGAGACCACAAGTACACGCCACCATACCCAGCTAACTTTTTTGTATTTTGTAGAGGAGGGGTTTTGCCATGTTGCCCAGGCTGGTCTCAAACTCCTGGGCTCAAGTGATCTTCCAGACTCAGCCTCCCAAAGTGCTGGGATTACAGGCATGAGACACTGTGCCTGGCCTTTTTAATTAAATTTAAATTATAAATGCGGTCACTGTAGGAAATATGTGTATTACTTATCTACTGCTATGTAACAAACTACTCCAAACCTAGTGACTTAAAATAAATACTTAGGGCTGGGCCCAGTGGCTCATGCCTATAATCCCAACACTTTGGGAGGCTGAGGTGGGCAGATCACTTGAGTCCAGGAGTTCAAGACCAGGCTGGGCAACAGCGTGAGACTCCATCTCTACAGAAAATGCAAAAATTAGCCAGGTGTGGTGGTGCACACCTGTGGTCCCAGCTACTCAGGAGGCTGAGTCAGGAGAATCACTTAACCCCGGGAGGCAGAGGTTGCAGTGAGCCAAGATCACACCACCGTACTCCAGCCTGGGTGACAGAGTGAGACTCTGTCTCAAAAATAAACAAATATAAAAAAATACTTAGGATCTCCATTTCGTGGGTCAGGAATTATGGAGTGGCATAGCTGGGTCATTTGGTCTCAGGGTGTCTCATGACATTGCAGTCAAGCTGTCTACTAAGACTGCAGTCACCTAAAGCCTGTTTCCAAGGTGGCTCACTTATGTGACTGCTGACCTGAGGGCTCAGTTTCTGTCACATGAGCCTCTCTACAGGCTGCTTAGCTGTCATGGTGTGACGGCTGGCTTTCCCAAGTGAGTAATCAAACAGTGAACAAGGAGGAAGCCACAGTACCTTTTATGATGTAGTTTGCAAAGTTGCAAACCATCACTTTTGCTTTTACTATCTGTCAGAAGGGAATTAGGCAACCCAGCCCACACTCAAGGGGACAGGGACTGGGCTCCACCTTTTGAAGAGAGTATCAAATAATTTGTGGACATATTTTAAACTACCATGCTATGTTTAATTATTGCAAGTATGGTCACTGTAGAAAAACTGGAAAATAGGGACAAGCAAAAAAAAAAAATCACTTATAATTCCATGACTCAATGGATAACATTATTAGTTGGGTATATATAATTCCAATATTCAAAATATATATTTACTTTCTCAAAATATAAATACACTGTGTACTATCATGTAATCTGCTCTTTCACGCAATGTATGTATTGTAAAAATTCCTTTCATGTCAAATATTCTTTCCTAATTTTTTTTTTTCTTGAGACGGAGTTTCCTTCTTGTCGCCCAGGCTGGAGTGCAATGGTGCAATCTCAGCTTACTGCAACCTCTACCTCCTGGGTTCAAGCAATTCTCCTGCCTTAGCCTCCCAAGTAGCTGGGATTACAAGCATGGGCCACCACACCCAGCTAATTTTTTGTATTTTTAGTAGAGATGGGGTTTCACCATGTTGGCCAGGCTAGTCTCAAACTCCTGACCTCAAGTGATCTGCCCACCTTGGCTCCCCAAAGGGCTGGGATTACAGATTTGAGCCACTGTGCCCAGCCCCTCATAACATTTTTTCATGGCTGCATACATTTCATCATATGTATATATCGTAACTTATTTAACGAATTCTATTATAGGACACTTAGGTTGTTTACAAGTTTTCCCTGTTTTATACATTTTGTTAAATGAACATCCCTACAACACATTTATTGGTATAATCATGACAGTTTCTTAAATTCCTAGAAGTAAAATTTCTGGAACACAGTTTGCATAATTTTAAAACTTCAAATGCCTGTTACCTAATTCGAGCAGAAGGTTTACTACAATATTCAAGAGTCCATTCAGCCAATGTCATATCTATGATAACACCTGCAAAAGTTCAAATATTGGTAACTATAAG